CAGTGGGTCGGACCGGGGCGAACAAAAACATCCTGGTTGTGTTTGGGCTGGCTCAGCCCGGCCCGCTATGTTCGATGGCCAGCACTGACAGCTCCACTGGTGAGAGAGCACAGAGCGGCCAGGCAGAACACAGAGTGGAGCTGCCCTGCGCCATCACCAGCCGACATCGGACTGAGGGGGGGACGGGGACTGTGCAGGACACTGTGCTGTGAAAGAAGATAACAGAACACAGAGTCCTGGAGAATGTGAGCTGACAGGGGGGAAGGGGTAGTGTAACCGTTGCTGTACCAGTGAGTTGATTTAAGGTCCATATGCTTAGCTTTTATGAACACAATGAAATCCAAATACAGGGTGCACACTGCTCACTGCTATACTAAAGGTTGAAAAATGCACAATGCAAATAAATATTAAGATGCAAAGCCTTTAAATAACATGCACTCGAAGTTGGGACCAGTCTGGGATCTACAGGTGACTCCTGTAAAACTGGAGGACGTGGGACCAGCTCCCTTGTGGTAGCAGGTATCTTTTTGCCTCACACATTTTAATGAAACATACCTAGCTGTCATTATGTATGTAATAAAGGTGTAATTTACATGTTTACATGGCCGGAACATAGCGCACTCCATTTCATTGCTGTGTACCCTGGTCATCAGGGGGGTACGGCCAATACACATGTAAGGGGCCCGGGCCACCTGGGTAATTTGTTTTCTTGCAGCGATCAGTAAATAAATTATGCTGCATGCAGCAAACAGACACTGGAGGGCCAGTTCACACCGCAAACAGTGCGTTCCAGAGCGGTTAATCAGCCTCTGGAACGCACTGTATCGCAACCCCGCTGGCTCCCTGCATTCAGAGGTGGCAGGGGGCTGCCTGCGTTTTTCGGTCTAGTGCGATCTGCAACAATGCTGCAAGCACTATTTTTGCAGATCGCACTGGACCGAACGCAGGCACTGACGTGCCACACATTCGGGTGCGGGCAATTGCACTACAGGTAGAGGGCCATGTCCCCTCCCACCCCTGAACGCGGCGAGCCGGCTGGGTTGCGATCCAGTGCGTTCCAGAGGCTGACCGCTTTGGAACGCACTGTTTGTGGTGTGAACTAGCCCGGAGGCAGTATCCTATATCTGTGTCTGAAGTATGTTATTTCCTACAAACATGCAAAAAAAACAAGGATAAAGGAAAAATAGTGCAGTACTGTATTTACTTTGCAGCAGTAGTTCAGGCTAAGTGGTATTCTGCATTGCTGTACAATGTATTGCTGGGATTTGTAGTCCTCTATAGTTGGTGGTATTCTGCATTGCTGTATACTGTATTGCTAGGATTTGTATTCCTCTATAGTTGGCGTCCCTCTACAGCTTGTGGTAGAACTACCAGGGTCACAGCTGCAGCCGGGCCCTGGAACTCCACCACTGACTCTAAGCTGTAGAGAGACTACAGATCACAGGCCGGACAGGAGTAAGAGGGCCCCGGTGACCATCGCCATTTCCATTAAAAGGCCCACCAAAATCTCACCACCAGGCCTGTGATGCTGTTAATCTGGCCCTGACTGGAGAGAAGTCACAGAACACCGGAGTCCTGAAGAAAGTGATTTGAGGAGGGGGCGGGGAATCACTAACAGACACTGAAGAGGGAGTAGAGCACCACCACCCCATGATGGACACACACAGGGGAAACGGAGGAGAATTGCAGGGTCCAAAATAAGGAGACAGACGGGCGGGGGCAGGAACACAAGGGCCAGAATGAGAGAACACAGGGCACAGACTGAGTAAACATAGGGTTAGACTATGAGATGGCGGTAGGCAGGGTGTGAGGAGAAAGTGTTGGTGGTGCTCAAGCTGCTCGTGCTCCAGCTCGGACTGCAGGCTCTGCGGGGGGTACATGTCCATGGGGCTGGTACGTGCCATGGCTGAGGGTGCTAGGAGGCTGGTGAACTGCTCCTTGTACTACTGATCAAGAGTACAGCAGCAAGGCTGACACCACTCACTCATTTTTTAATTCCAGTCTATGAAACCCAATTCATTTTATTAGGTTTGCTAGGCATCAACTGAACAGTCCACATATGAGAATTTGAGGGCAAGCTGTGCCAGTCAAAGAGAACTACCCAACTTTGCCAGCTCCGGAGGCAACAAATACTCAGTAACACCATTGTAGATTTTAGTAATCTTAATTTATGTGGTAATATTATTATAATATTTTTTTCAGAGGTTCCTGCTTATTTACCCTATACCTGTTTGTCCCCTATAGAGCCAGTAAAGTATTTGCCGTTTGTGTGTGTGTGTGTGTGTGTGTATATATATTTATTGTCCCCTGTAATTAGGCGGTCACCTTAGGCCACCCCTCGATTGGATGTCTATGTTTAGCTCCACCACTCGATTGTGATGGAGCGGGACCTTTGGGGGTCATGTGATTGGGCTGCTCAGTCTAAAATGCCCGACCTATTTTTGGTCCCAGTCTGGCCCTGTCCATGAGTGTACACATACACTAAAGCACAGCAGCTAGCAGCACTTTAAGTAAAGAATATTGCATATTCACAAGCGCAAACTTATATAAATTTTACAATAAATCCCCTGGAGCAGATAACTTGCACCCACATGTACTTAAATAGCTAAGTATGATAATACCGAGACCATTGTTCCTAATCTTTATGAACACCATACTGACTGGGGAGGTGCCAGCTGACTGGCATAAAGCAACTATTGTACAAATATTTAAAACAAGTTTAAGAAGCGCACCCCGGAAATTATAGACCGGTCAGCTTAACATCTATAGTATGCAAGTTATTTTAGGGTATGATAAGGACCATATTCATGAATGTGCTGATGGGCATAATATCATAAGTGACAACCAACATGGCTTCACGAAAGACCATTCAAGTCCAACCAACCTATTGGCGTTCTATGAAGAGGTGAGTGTCAACCTAGACAGGAAAGCCAGTGGACATAGTGTACCTTGATTTTGCAAAAGCATTTGCTATGGTACCTCATAAATGTTTAATTTACAAGCTTCAATCTTTGGGCATTGGTGAAATGGTGTGTACTTGGATAGAGAACTGGCTAAGTGAACATGTCCAGAGAGTCTCAGTAAATGGCTCATTTTCCAAGTGGTTCTCAGTTGCAAGTGGCACACCTCAGGGTTCTGTCTTGGGGCCATTGCTGTTCAACCTGTTTATCAATGATATTGGGACTGATATTAATAGCAATATTAAAATTTTTGCTGATGATACCAAAATTTGTAGGGTAATAAACTCGACAGACGACATAGAAATATTACAGGAAGATTTGGATAAAATAGGGGGTGGGCATCTACATGGCAGATGAGGCTTAATATTGAGACATTTAAGGTTATGCATTTTGGAGTTAAAAATATGAGAGTGAGCTACTCATTAATGGGTGTTCTACTGGGGGAATCAGAGGGGGGAAAAGATTTGGGAGTGGACTGTCACCTTAGCAACAGCATGCAATGCCAGACAGCAGCAAATAAGGCGAGCAGGGAATTATCATGTATAAAAAAGGAATGTACTGTAAAGACCAATCCAAAATTCTGCCCCTGTACAAAACAATAGTGTGGCCACATCTGGTGGTTCAATTTTCCTCACTGATCTACAGAAGGGATGTTCTTAAGCTGGAGAGAGTCCAGAGAATGGCAACAAAGCTGATAAAGGGGTTAGATGACCTAAATGATGAAGAACGTCTGCAAGCGTTAAACTTGTTCACTCTTGAAGAGAGGAGACTAAGAGGGGACATGATATTAATGTAAAAAATGTTTAATGGTGACGGGATAATCAGTAATAAACTGGTTACTGTCAGTTCAGTCAAGAATACAAGAGGCCACCACCAGAAACTGGAAGCGAAAGGGATAAATCTGAAACTGTAAAGGGGATTATTTACTGTGAGAGCTGTAAAGTTGTGGAAGTCCCTTCCACAGACAGTGGTATCAGTGAGAGTATGAAAGTATGAAATCATTCAAGAACTATCTAGATACTTTTCCCAGTGCCTAAGATATACAGGAGTACATGTAATCTTAGTAACACACACACACACACACACACACACACACAACACAAAGGTTGAACTCAATGGACCTGTGTCTTTATTCAACCTTAACAACTATGTAACTATGTGACTAACAGTGATTTTGTATCCCCCACTCCTCCCACTTTCTAGCTCCCTCTGCTTTATCTCCCAGTGTATATATACTGTATATATTTATATGGCAAAACATGATCCAAACTAAATTTATCTTCTTCATTACCATAAGTGAGGTACAGGATTTAATGAATCTGTCTGTATTCTGGGAATAGCTAATAAAAGAGCAAACCTCTTTGCTGCACCAATCCCCAGCAGCGGAGACTGAGAGCCCAGTAAAAATAATTGAAATATAGTGTTTTCCTCAAGGAACCAGAAAAGTTAAAACTTGTACATGTACAGCCTTCTATAAAATAAAGAAACCATGTGGCGTGTATGAATATTATAGCCAGAAGACCTCAGGAAATAAGAAGCTGCATACAAACCTCTATGCCAGGCAACATGTGAAATGTCTCATTAGGTTTATTAGATTCTCTTTATTTGTTGTTAATATTCTATGATTCTATAATAGTTTGTTTATTTTTTCAGGAATCCTCCATAATTTCTACAATTATCATTTGAGCAGTCTTAAAATATATCACTGCTAAGCTGTTATTCTTTAGAACATGATGAATTCCAGAGGAGACAAGCTATATGAATGCTCGGAGTGTGAGAGAAGCTTCAATTCAAAGTCACTTCTTACAGTTCACCAGAAGGTTCATAATGAAGAGGAACCATTTGACAAGACACATCTTATTGAACACCAGAGGAGTCACACCAGAGAGAAGCAATATAAGAGCTTAGAATTTGACAAGTTGCTCACTGAAAATAAAGCTTTAAGAGAAATGATTTGCACTGAAGATAAGCTATTTCGATGTTCAGAATGTGACAAGCGCTTCACACGAAAGGATGGTCTTACTGTTCACCAGAGGATTCACACTGGAGAGAAGCCATTTAGATGTTTAGAATGTTACAAGTGCTTCATAACTAATGGAAGTCTTACTAAACACCAGATGATACACACTGGAGAGAAACTATTTCAATGTTCAGAATGTGACAAGTGCTTCACACAAAAGGGAAATCTTACTGAACACCAGAGGACTCATACTGGAGAGAAACTATTTCAATGTTCAGAATGTGACAAGTGCTTCACAACTAAGGGAAGTCTTACTAAACACCAGAGGATTCACTATGGAGAGAAGCCATTTGGATGTTCAGAAGTTGACAAGTGCCTCACACAAAAGGGAAATCTTACTGTTCAACAAAACACTCACACTGGAGAGAAACATTTTCAATGTTCAGAATGTGAAAAGAGCTTCACAACTAAGGGAAATCTTACTAAACACCAGAGGACTCATACTGGAGAGAAACAATATAAATGTTCAGAATGTGAAAAGTGCTTCACAACTCAGGGAGGTCTTGCTAAACACCAGATGATTCACACTGGAGAGAAACTATTTCGATGTTCAGAATGTGACAAGTGCTTCACACAAAAGGCAAATCTTACTGTTCACCAAAACACTCATACTGGAGAGAAACAATTTCAATGTTCAGAATGTGAAAAGAGCTTTACAACTAAGGGAAATCTTACTAAACACCAGAGGATTCACACTGGAGAGACGTTATTTCGATGTGCAAAATGTGACAAGTGCTTCATGCAAAAGGAAGCTCTTACTGCTCACCAGAGGACTCATACTGGAGAGAAACAATTTAAATGTTCAGAATGTGAAAAGTGCTACACAATTAAAAGAAGTCTTACTATTCACCAGAGGATTCACACTGGAGAGAAGCTATTACCATGTTCAGAATGTGACAAGTGTTTCACAACTAAGAGAAGTCTTACTGAACACCAGAGGATTCACACTGGAGAGAAGATATTTCGATGTTCAGAATGTGACAAGTGCTTCACAACTAAGGGACGTCTTACTGTTCACCAGAAGACTCATACTGGAGAGAAAGACTTTAAATGCTCAGAATGTGAAAAGTGCTTCACAACTCAGGGAAACCTTACTATTCATCAGATGATACACACTGGAGAGAAGCCATTTCGATGTTCAGAATGTGACAAGTGCTTCATAACTAAGGGAAGTCTTATTATTCACCAAATGACTTATACTGGAGAGAAACAATTTAAATGCTCGGAATGTGAAAAGTGCTTCTCAATTAAAGGAAATCTTTCTAAACATCAGAAAATTCACGGTGGAGAGAAGCTATTTCGATGTTCAGAATGTGACAAGTGCTTCTCACAAAAGGAAAGTCTTGTTGTTCACAAGTGGATCCACACAGGAGAGAAATCATATTAATGTTCGCAATGTGGCAAATGTTTCACCATAAAGTCGAATCTTACTTTTCACCAGAGGACTCACACTGGACAGAAATAATTTTTCCTGCTTAGATTGTGACAAAAGCTTTACATCAAATATAAATCCTATTGGACACCAGAAGATCCATAGAGCAGAAGAGCTGTTTTGATGTTCTGAATGTGAGACTCACATAATTTAAATGAGAAATCTTATTGGACACCAGAGATATTACCAAAGAGAGAAGTAAGTTATGTTCTGAAGACCTAAACACAGGTCTAATCCAAAGACATATTGGGGTTGGTTTACTTAGGAAGTAGAGCTTGTTGACTTTGCAATCTGTATGTTCGCTTAACTGAGTAAACTTAACTCTCTTCATTCTGAATACCCAATCATGTGCATGGGAGTTTTAAAACAATTTATAACTTTTGCTTTAACTTAATTGAATAATAACATTGATCAGATATTTCCCTCATTCACTTAGCTAAATTGAACATATACTTTGCCTGGGGGGGGGGCCTAGAGAGCAGCCAAGCAAGATGGCCGCATTTGGATTTGGCTCTACAGCACCCGGGCATGTGATCAGCTATTTCAGTATGCTATCCATTGATTCCCACCCACTTTTCTCTTCACTTGACATCTTTACCTGAGTGACTGCCTCATGCATAAATAAACATCTGCATCCCGGACTCGGTCACAGACTCCAGCCTCCTCATCTGTGGAGCACTTGGCAAAGATGGCATCTCCACCTCCCTCTCCGGGGCATCTCATCTATTCCCCGAAATTGACTGATGCAATCAACGGCTCCTCTAATGAGCGTCTTCCACCACACTTACCCCCTGAACAACCAGAGGTCTCCTGTCAAGATGCGGCCCTCTTGGAAAAATGTCAGCTCTACTGCAAAGGGAGCTTGTGCCCGCTATCGATAAAATAACTTCTTAGCCTTCAAAGGCGATTAAAGAATTGGGCTTTGTGACTACACAAGATGGAGTAAAAGATAGATGATGTTTTCTCGGAGGTGGATTCTGATGAGCAGGATCTGACCTATACACAGTCCTGCAAAAATTAGAAGATCTGGAAAATAGGATCCGTCGGGAAAACAAATGAATTTGCAGTGTTCCTGAGCATATTGAATATCTTCAAACCACCGTCTCTGCCATGTTCCAAGAACTGCTCCCGCATTACCCAATCGAGCAGCTTGAACTAGATCGGATCAACCTCACTCTTGGCCCTAAACACACCAACAGATCCCATTAGAGATAAAATTCTTAAATTCTTAAACCAATGTTTTACAAGACAAAAAAGGCTATCCTGGGAGCTGCATAGGAGAAGAGGTCTTTATGTTTTCAGAACTACAACTAGCAAATCTTTGCAGGCCTGGCTCCCCAAACCCTACAGAGATGGAGACTGTTGCAATATGGCATTAGGTGGGGATTTCCATTTGAAGTTGTCTTTAATTATGTAAACCAAGTTCACTCATTCTCTTCCCCAGAAGAAGCTGGATCCCTCTTGGAACAACTACCACACTTTCTCTCTGCTACTGCTTCTCCTTCCACACCTCCACCTCTAACCCCAAAGGAGCATCACCCAAGTCCACTGTGGGAGCGTAAATCCTGAAACCGTCACGGACTGACAGGGAGATTCTGATGCTCTCAAGCTTCAAACGCTGATCTGGGAGACTGATTTTTTTTTTTTACTTACCCAGAGCTCTTCATTCTGTCACACTTCTCTTAGCTGGTCTTTTATTTGGACACCTGCACCATCTACTGTTATGGACCAGTCAGATTGCAGTGATTACTGTGTTCTACTTAGTTTGTTAGTTAGAATTTTTTGTTTGATTTCCCAAGGACAGTTTTTTCCTTACCTCACTTTATTACCATTCTGTTTTATGTTTTGAGCACCATATGATATAGCTGATTATCTTCCACTGCCCTCGTTTTAACCATTTTTGCTACTCCCCATTACTCATCAGAAAACTGTGTAGCTACCTTGGGTGTTTACCTTTCCTGCATGCCTCTATTGCCCCCTTTTCCTTCTAGCTTTAGTAGAATTGAACACAGTAACTTGTCTAGCTCTACACACAAACTTTTTACTCCCAGTGCAGCTATTGTTATGTTATCTGTTGAGGTTTTTGGATCAGTTGCAAGTTGAGGACATAAAAAATATATATATATATATATGTGTGTGTGTGTGTGTGTGTGTGTGTGTGTGTGTGTGTGTGTG